TTTAGAAATGGGCCGAGGGATAGAGCCCATTGGGTCCATTCCACACTAAGTTAGAAATGGGCTTTCATAAAACTTCGGGTAATCTGTTACGAATGTTTTTGAAGTAGTCTGATATGAAATTTTGAAAAGGTGGAACATTGCAATTTTCTTTTACAAATTGAAATCAGCTATCAAAATATTTCTTATTTGGTCAGATTTTATTCATTTGGAAATATGGAATATAATCAAATTTTTTAAATGAATTTTTTTTTTTTTTTTAGTTTTGAAGAAATCCAATTTATCATTCAAATATTGTCTAATTTCAAACACAAATCTTAATATAAGTAATATATTTTATTTTTAAAAGCTTGGATAATGATCTAAAAATGGCGAAAAATTTTATAAAACATTAATCCATATGGATTACTTAAAACACAAAAATTGAATTATATCTATGGATTACTTAAAACATTAATTTCATGCATCGCGATTTTTCTTTTATAAAGACTTTTAAAATTTCACAAGAAATTAAAATTTTTTTTTAAAAAAAATTTTAATATATTTTGTATTTACAAAAGTATCCTTCAAATCCATATATTTATGGAGTATTTAGCAAGAGAGATTAAAAAATTTTAATTTATAAATTTCAAATTTGATGGGTCCAACATTTTGTAAAGCATGGAACATGTGAAGCATTGCATTCATTTACAGTCTATGAACTTTCTATATATGTATTTTCCGTGTCAAATTCACTAATTTTCGGCCACCCATTTGGACTATGATATTTGTGCATGATGAAGGAAAATGATAGAATACCATAAGAAGCATCAATATGAAAAGCAAGCACTTTTTTCTACTAATTACAAGTAATTAACTTTATATTATCTAAAATATTAATTCTAAATCTCTCAAATCATAAAAAGATCACTCTCTCAGACAGAATATACCAAAGAACTTGTTATGATTCTTTTTTATACAAACTATTTGTGCTAATCCGAAATACTGTTTTCTCCAGGCAAAAATATCCGCTCTGCAGTGAATTATGATGTTTTAACAGGAAACAACATAAAGCGCTTATCAACGACTTTTCAGTTTTCAGGTTGAATTCAGTGTATTGTTCTTTTCTAACCCCCCAATATCAGCCAACCTGCACAGCAGCACCCACTACAATAAACGAAACCAACCACAAAATCGCTTTTGTAGATATGATATTTTCTTGGCACACAGCTCCTTTCTGGAGTTTCCAAGAACCCACTTTTGAGTGTTCAATTTATTTAATATCAAGGTATATTAATTAAAATTAATATTAACATGGAATGGCTTTTCTTAATGCTCCCCACCTGAAGCAAATTTATTTTGGACCGTCATTAAAATATAGATTATTGATAGTGTTAAAGTGGGAGACCTTTGTTTTAACCATAGAGGTTTTTGATTTTTTTTTTTTTTTAAATTTTTTAAGGTAAATGAATGAGGGAGAAGAAAGATCAAAGAAGGTGACTTCGACTTTAAATTATGGTCCCAGAAAATGGACTTCCACTTTGAATTTTCATTGAGGTTATTTTATTTTTATTTTTGTAAACCACAGAATTGTGTTTGAATGCACGTTCCTAGTGGGTGGAGAAGAATGTTTGAAACCAATTAATAAACCTAATTTTTGCATAACAAAAATGAAATAAAATTGTTTCAACTCAATTAGAAATTTTAATATTAAAAAATAAATATTTTAACTTGATTAGGAAAAAGTTTTTAATATTAACGATGAAATTAAAGTTTCATTATTTTCTATAAAATGTTAATTAAAGTAATTATTCAGAATTGATATAGAAAATATTAGTTGGAAATTGTGCAGTAGGTTAATTATTTATAAATGAAAAGTGAGAGACAACTTGCAAACAATAATAGTGAGCTTTTGCAAAACAACTGTATGCAGACTAAACTTGCCAATAATCTTGACATATATATAAATAAATCATATGTATATATACATATTATGAGACACGTGAAAGTTGAAACACGTTTCTTAACAAGGATCATCATGTCTTAGTTTCATTGTATAGTATGGAGCTAATGTCGATCCCAGCTTCTGAGAAAAGAAAAAAAAAAGGTTAGGTGACGCCATTTTCAGAGTGGATGAATATTTTAGAGAATATTCTGATTTATGTATATTATATGTGCATTTTATTTTCTATTTCCAAGAAATGGATAAGGATAATTTCTGTTTTTATATTTTTATATTTTTCAGGATTACTGTATAAGAAAAATAAATTCTCGTTAACCTCAACTTTTATTTTAACCATTTAAACACTTTATTTATAAAATTGCACCCATTAAATATTTCAATTTATAAACACTTATAAAAAAATTAAAGTTGTGAAAATTATTATTGAATATTTAAACTTATAAAAATTATTATTTCAAAAATAGAAATAATCACATATCAAATTAACATTTTATATAAAAAATTAAAATTTAAGATATCATAAAATTTTCTTTACTAAAATTGAGAGATTATGGATGTACCTTGTTGTCTGGTAGTAAATTGGAATTGAATGATAGTACTAGTAGTTGACGTCAACCAAAACGACGAGCCCTAGTTGGAGGGTAAAAGGTCCCCCAAGAGAGTAGATATTTTGGTAAGTCAATGAAGGACTTCAAAAAGTGGGAAATGGCTATGACATCGACAATTTGTGGGTGGAGGGCCATAAAATCTTTAAATATTGAACTGACCATAATCAATCAATCAATCATCTCCTTCTTCTTCTTCTAGTAGGAAGCTCACTTCTTTTGACAATATGTGTTTGGTTTTGTGTACATTTCTACCCTAAAGGCCACTTTCTCATCCCTTTTGAAGAGAGATGAAAATCTCTTTACACCAATTAGGTCATCCATTGATTTTCAATCAATAAAACCCATGATTTTCTGACCTCACTATAACTATACAAGTTAGAAAAAAATATTAGTAAGTATTTTATAATAATGGTGGAATAGAATAATTCGGTTGAAGAGTATGATCTGCGGTGTTCACTACTATAATTAAATAAAAAATTTTAAAATAATAAATAATAAATTTTGATTGTAATTTAGGTAAATGTGAATGGCAGCTAACGTTAATTTCTAATAGAAAGAAGAGATTAAATTTTCTTTACAAAATTTAACTTGTTTGCTTCAAATTTTATTTGGAAATTTCCACGAAAGAGTAAAGTTTCTATTGAAATTCTTAAGAGTTAAGACTAGGAATAGATTAAAGTACGGTTAAAAGGTTTTAAATCTACAATCTACATGTCACTAGGCCATGGCATGTGTGGATTGACTTTTCTTCTCTTTCTTTTTTAAATGGGAGGTTCACCAGACATCTTATTTCTAATAGCAGATAAAACCAATCAGATTATACTTAATCATTGAAAAGATTGAATTTGGATTGATTATATAGATCACATATGCATTGATCGCTAGTATGTTCACATGTGCTTTTTCTTTTTTTGTATTAAGTGATTGTTTATAAACTTAATAATTTTTTTTGTCAGCAATCAAATCAGTTTTATTAGGTAATAATAATAAAAAGGAAAAAAAATTTATCAAATTCGAGCGAAACTAAATCCAAACCATCAAGATTTTCTATTTAGGAATATATATTATGACGTATTCATATTATACTCTCCTTAATATTTGATTGTAAATAATTTGTAGGAAAATATTTTTTTATAATTTTTTATTATTTGGAGCGCTCAGAAAAATAAGTCAACAGAAAATATTTTCTTAGTCAAATAAAAATTAAGTCATTTTTTAAAGAAAATAACTTCTTATTTTCGAGAGAGTAAAACAATTTTCGAATATTGAGAAATTTTATCCCTGTTTTTTAATTTAACGACTACCGTTAATCACTGTTTCCCACCGATGACTGTCAATTTTCATAATTCATAAACCCAATTTTCATCACAAGTCAGTTACAAGTTCACAGCTGGCGTTGACCAAAGCTCGTGGGAACTCAAAGTCGTCACGCAGCATTAATTCTTCAATGACAGAATTGCCCTTGCCTGCTTCCTTACGATGCGGACATTGGACCTACGTGTCTCCAGTTGGTAGTATAGTATCGATCAATTCTTTTAAAATATAAGAGTAAAGTATTAAATTCCATATTTTAAATAAAAGAAATTTTATTTCTTTCTAATTATTTTTACACCAATTTGGACATAATTTCAAAATTTTCTTCCAAGAGCACATCCCCAAGAAATAAATCTAATTTCAAAGCAAAACTAATTAAAACTTTTTACATTTTTGTAAATAATAATTGAATTAAGGTGGCATTTGATTACCAAAATTTTTCTATAGAAAAATACTCTTTTAGGGAAGTATTATAGAAAAATTAAATTATTGTGTTTGAATAAAAATAAAAAAAAATTCAGGAAAGTAGCATAATTGTGACAATGGATGTTATTATATAATTTAAAATGTCTTACTTTTTATAGAAATTTAATTTTTCTACCCTTTGAGTTGAAAAAATAGGAATGAGCCTATGTGCTTAGAAGTCAAATTTTCTTAGGAACGTACCAACCAATTATTGGAATTTAACTCCAATAAGCCAATTGGTTTGGGATTCTATAGATCCACTCCTTTTTTTAATTAAAGATTAATCTTTTCCTAATTCACAATCCCGTGACATTTCAGTAATCAAATACCTCTTAAATGTATTAAATATTTTTTTACCACACATGAGAGGTAAAATTCATTTGAAATGTAATCCATTTTACTATAATATATATAATATATACAAAAATTTATTTATAATTTTCAACATAACAAATTTATCATGTAAATTAAATTTATTATTTTTATTAGCTATTGATAATTTTAATTAATAATAAGGAAGTCAAAAGTCTTTAATTTAATATCAAAATAATAATTATAAGAAAACATTTTACAAAGTTAAAAAAAAGTTTTATATAATTTTAAACAAACGCGTTTTGTTTATTTTTAAAGATAAAAGGCAAACCAAAAACTAAAATAAAAACAAACACCTCCAACTAATTCTTAAAGAAAAACTAAATATTTTTAAAATATATGACGTAATATATAACAAACAACCCAGTCAAAGGTCCAAAAGGGAGAAAAAAGGGGCGCGAGGTGTATAAACGGGGCGAAGCACATCGGCGATGGTGTGAGGTTAAAGGGGAATATACCGGACGAATATTTTTATTTCCTTTTTTATTTTTTTATTGTTATCAAGTTATTTGGCTTTTCAGTTGGGGTCCACTACATCCTCGGAGGTCAATTCTTCTTGCATATAAATACACATTAGAAGTCCTACACTCCGTTTCAGAACACAAGCACTGGAATCTCCTTCGTTTATCGTTTCGTTTCTCTTATCATCTGCAAGAAAATACAACAGGTTAGTTTCAGATCAGATCAGAAGCTTCTTTGTATTTCTGTGTATTTTTATATTTATATTCACGTATCTATGGGGTTTCTTCATGCATGCAAAAAGATATGGACAATCTACAACTTTCTATTTTATTTTTTTTAATGGTGTTTTCTTTATTTCTTTCTGTCTTTTCTTTCCCTTTCACTCTGTATTTTTTATGCTCTTTTTAAAAAAAAAAAAAAACAAAAAGAAAGTGGATGGTTATGGTATAATATTCAAGAATGGAAAATCTTTTTTCTTTTCTTGGATTTTGTATTTTCTTTTTTCTGTCACTTTATAAAATTATATAGATGTCCCCTGGTTTTAGAGATCATAATTTTCATCTGGAAATGGAATTATGAAATCAAGATTCTTAATTTATTAGTCTGTATTTTCACTTTTACATGTAGATTGTTACCTGCGTAAATTGCTATCATCAAAGGGCTTTTCTTGATTTGCAGTAAGGAAAATACTTATTCAAGTAAAACATAATACTCGCCCTGATTTTAGGATCTGGCCCATCTTCAGTTTAATTACATACAGCTGCAAGTTCATATTCTTGTTCAAACATTTCATATTTAATTTAACATTTCTTTAGAAGAAAATGATTTACAATTATAGATTATTGCAATCTTATTAAAATTAAAATTTTGAAGGAGTTGTTTTGAGTCTGCAGGTAATTATTAATTAACTACTTAATCTTATGTGTAATTTCCCTTTGTTATTATTATATTAAGTGAAGGTCAACAGAAGTAGGTAATAATGTTGTCTGTTTATACAGCAGGCCAATTTTTTAGTATTTTTCTTGGTTTAGTGCTTAACCTTTCCTACAGTCATGGAGGTTAATGAATTTTTCCTATTACATTAATCATATCGTCTCTGTTTGAAAACTTTAATCATAAGTCTGCTTATAATCGAATAGTCAAGAAAGCAGAGTGCTAGGCTTTCAAATTTTCAAAAGTTCTTTTGATAAAAAATAGAGGAGCAGTTGGACCCGCTAAACTCTCTAGTTGACTAAAATTCTATTTAAAAATCTTGTGAACATATTAATTTTCTGTTCATTTTATATAATTGTGTAAAAATATTTTCATAATTTCTCAATACTGCATTTTCTTATGCTTTTTGTTTGGTTTTGCAGAGAAAATGTAGGGAGAAATGTGAAAATTAATTTTGTGTGAAAAATTTCTCTTAATTTGTCAATCTTACATTTTCTTTTACTTTTGTTCATTTTTTGCAGAGACAATATATAAAGAACTTTGTGATTTGAATTAGCCAGTCATGGCTAAGGAATTACAAGTTCTTAATGCTCTTGATGTAGCAAAAACACAATGGTATCACTTCACTGCAATTATAATTGCTGGAATGGGGTTTTTTACGGATGCATATGACTTGTTTTGCATTTCTCTGGTCACTAAATTGCTTGGCCGTATATATTACCATGTGGATGGTGCGGAAAAGCCTGGGACTTTACCTCCTAATGTATCAGCAGCAGTAAATGGTGTAGCATTCTGTGGAACTCTTGCAGGCCAGCTATTTTTTGGCTGGCTTGGCGATAAAATGGGGCGGAAGAAGGTCTATGGTATGACTCTTATGCTTATGGTGATATGTTCAGTTGCTTCAGGCCTTTCTTTTGGTCATAATGCAAAAGCAATTATGTCAACTCTTTGTTTCTTTCGGTTCTGGCTTGGTTTTGGTATCGGAGGTGATTATCCACTTTCTGCTACAATCATGTCTGAATATGCTAACAAGAAGACTCGGGGCGCTTTTATTGCTGCTGTATTTGCTATGCAAGGTTTTGGAATTTTAGCAGGAGGGATTTTTGCTATAATTATATCATCTGCATTTCGCGCTAGGTTTGATGCTCCAGCTTATCAGGATGATGCAGTTGCCTCAACTGTTCCACAAGCAGATTACATTTGGCGTATAATTCTAATGGTTGGAGCACTTCCTGCTGCTCTTACTTACTATTGGAGAATGAAAATGCCTGAAACTGCTCGTTACACTGCCCTTGTAGCCAAGAATGCAAAACAGGCTGCTTCTGATATGTCAAAAGTTTTACAAGTTGATCTTGAAGCGGAAGAGCATAAAGTTCAGCAACTTTCTCAGGATCAATCCAATTCTTTTGGTCTTTTCTCGAAAAAGTTTCTTCATCGGCACGGACTTCACTTACTTGGGACAACAACTACATGGTTCTTGCTTGACATTGCATTTTACAGTCAAAATCTTTTTCAAAAGGATATCTTTAGTGCCATTGGGTGGATTCCTCCTGCAAAAACAATGAATGCTATTGAAGAAGTTTATAGAATTGCAAGAGCACAAACCCTCATCGCTCTATGCAGTACAGTTCCCGGCTACTGGTTTACTGTAGCTCTCATTGACAAAATTGGAAGATTCGCAATTCAGTTGATGGGATTCTTTTTCATGACAGTTTTTATGTTTGCATTAGCTATTCCTTACGATCACTGGACACATAAGGAAAACCGAATTGGATTTGTGGTAATGTACTCATTAACATTCTTCTTTGCTAACTTTGGACCTAATGCAACTACATTTGTTGTTCCGGCCGAGATTTTCCCAGCAAGATTAAGGTCTACTTGCCATGGAATATCAGCAGCATCAGGAAAACTCGGGGCTATAGTTGGTGCTTTTGGATTTTTATATTTGGCACAAAATAAGGACAAGGCTAAGGCAGATGCAGGGTACCCTGCAGGGATTGGTGTGAAAAATTCACTAATTGTATTAGGTGTAATAAATTTCTTAGGTATGTTGTTTACTTTCTTGGTTCCAGAATCAAAGGGAAAATCCTTGGAGGAGATGTCTGGAGAGAATGAAGCTGACAACGAACAGTCAGAAGGAAACTTGGAGCAAAGTACATATAATGGAAGAACAGCTCCTGCTTAGATTAGTTAAGTTCTAAAGCCTGTTCTCTAAGATACTATGCTATATAAGTCATCTTCATAGTCGTCTTCTTTTTTGTTTTTTTCTTTTTTGCTTTGTAGTAATTGAAGTAATTTGCTGCTGAAAGAAAGGGAATTATTATGAGAGCTCATATTTTGCAATTTTTTGGCTTGTTGCTTCATTGTCTTCCCTTCTGCATTTTCTTTTCCTTCTGTTAATTCCTAGAGAGGAGCCACTGGAATTGAGGCAGTAAGATGTGAATAATGGTGTTCATGGCAAAAGAAAGAATTCCTGCCACAGTTCTGGATTTTGATTCTTTTATTTGAACACCATCGCTTGAGTCAATCTTTTTAATCGAAACAAGTGAATAATGGTTTTTTGTGTACAAAACTCTTCCAACAATTGAAAATGTGTTCTGAACCACTACACTAGTTCACTGAAATGAAAATTTTTTATTTTTAAAATAAAAAGCACTTGAAGAAACCTGTTAAATGCTGGAAGAAGCAATTAAAACCCAATACTCTGCTTCAAATATTCTACTTCCCTCCCTCCTGTTTGTTAAATATGTATTATAGTTTAAATTCTAAAAGATATATGCAAGGTAATTTTGTTAATCCAATCCACAAGTTACATTATTTTGAAGTTTTATTTAGCATTTTCAATGTTATGTTTCTTATGTAATGTTCTAGCAAATTAGTTGGGCTATCTTAGATTCCACTAAAGGTAAGGTGAAGCCCATAATGTTCATCAACCAATATTCCAATTTTCTTACCTATGTGCAATACAAAGAACACAAATAAAGAAAATGGAACCATATTTAGAAGAAAAGACTATCTACTGCAAATTTATATGATAGCAGATTTTAAAATTGGAAGTACCAACAACAAACTTCTCTTCATCTGATCAGCAACAAAGAGTAAATAGTGCTTCTCATCACTATCAGCCTCTCCCACTGCTGGTTATTTAAGGAACATCCAGTTTTTGTGCTGGAAAGGATTCTGTAAGTGACTTAAGTGTAGCAAGATTCATTATTCATAAATTGGCAAAAACATAACAGATTTGTCTCCCTTGAGGAAGAAACCTTAGGTTTGCGGGGACTGTTTAATTAGCGCGTTCTCTGATCACTTCCAGATCCATCTCAGTAGGGTCAGTGGCCTGAATCTCATAGTGGATACCATCCAGCTCTCGTCTGAACCTGTCTTTAGAAGTTGCGTAGAGCATCTTGGCACGGATTCGAGAGGTTGAAGGAGACCTGATAAATGTCATGCAAGTAGCAAAGAGTAAGATCTTGATAGGAACTGCTTGCAACTATAGAAGTTAGAAATAATGCCAATCCCAGTCAAGAGGAAACAGAAAACGGATAGATGCGCATATGTGTGTGTGTGTGTGTGTGTGTGTGTGTCTATATATATATATATATATATATTTACAGAAATAAGGAGCCAATAATTGACAAAATATGGACACTTATTTATCACAGTAAACATTTCTTCTATATAGATATGCAAAGTTCCAAAACTCTCTTTCTTTCCAGGCCATTATTGTATTAACCATCCAGAGGATAGATGGTCCAAATACCAACACAATGAATAACAATGCGTATTTGCTACACAGGTCTTAAAGCAACTAGAACTGATGAGCTACAATTATAAGATAATGCAGCACGAAAATCCTAATACATGGTAAAGACAACAAGACATCTATGATGCACAGACACTTAATTGCAGACATGTTACCTGTGTCAAACACTTCTTAGACACAACAAGACACATGCCTAATATGCATGTCATGTCCCAATGCAGCTGTATTGTAGTGTCCATATCATATCCATGTCTTGTTTTGACAATCCATGCCAGACTCATTGCATGGCATCAATATCAAGTTATCAACTAAAACCTTCAGATTAAACAACTGAAAGATATCACAAAAGCACAACCCTCACCCACCTAACCTAATGAAATATATTATCCTACAAGAAGAACATTGTAACCTGGAAATAAAAAACTCATCTGCTGATTACTAGAGCAAGAAACAATTGATTATATTTTTCGTAAAATGAAACACCAAAAGAACACAGAACAGTTGAGGAAGATCCACGACTTGCCAACATAAGCATGTGTATCTGGCCTAACGATGAAATGGATCACCAAAAGAAGATGAAAGCATCTATTCCATATGTGGGTGTCCACAGGTGCATGCAATTAGATGTGATCTAGTCATGAGACATAGACTTGTTACAATTGGCATAGAGATTATCATTGATTATCAAGAAAAGTCATGAAACCTGTCAAACAAGTTACAAATTAAGTAAAACAACCAGTCAAATTGCAAAAAATGTGAATCAAATGTAAAATCTAACCATGCAATGAAAAATATCTTGCTCTTCTGACAATTCTCAGAAGTCACAAAATCAAAGTCATATACAGCATATCTGCAGTCATTCTCAGGCAAAGATGCAGCGAAATCCTCGTAGCTCTCAGCAGGGCCACCAGTCTTCTCAACCACGACTTCCTTCTTTTTTTCATCAATTCTAAATACCACATAGCGGTGAACTTTCTTCCTCTGCAGTTCCAAGAATGTGTTTATGCTGTGATCAGCAACACCCATCCCTGATGTTGCATTAGGCTGCAAATCCAAATCAATTTTTTAAAAAGAAGGAGAAGAAGAAGAAAGAAAGAAAGAAAGAAAGAAAATATTGCTCTTCATATAAAACAATAAAATCTATACAAGTAAATATTCCATACCAGTAAACAGTAAGCTACAAACTAAGTAATTTCACTAAAAATTCCGGAACTTCTAGATAATTATTAACATCACAAATGGCTTGACATGCAACAGCAATCTCTTTCATTCTAGGTAATCAAAACATCAAATTTGTACGAGTAACGAAAATTTTTGTTTGGTTGATAAGAAAATCTGAGATTCCCATTATTTAACACCTAATAATATTTTTTTCCCCATCTCTGTCTCAACTCTTCTCTTTTTCGGAAAAAAAAAAATTAAAAAAATAAAGTGACCTAGATCTCTACTCAAATCCATTACACACTCAAATCGAGCTAAAGATCACAACTTTTCAATGGACTAACAATATAAACCAAATATCCACCAACAAATACAACTTCAGTTTAATAAAAATCATAACTTTACGACAGAAAACGAGCTAAATAACTAAAATCAAACAGCTTTTAGAAATAGAGAAAGAAAGAGATACCCGGCTTAGTCCCCTGAATGACATAGCTGCTGAAAAAGTACAAGAAGCAGAACTAACAGTGAAGAATGAATAGAGAAGCAGTTTCAATTTAATAACAATTAAGCACTGCAACAGTTAAAAAGAAAAGAGAGCAGCAGTGAGCAAGTTTTGGACGGAAAGGAAAAATGAGAAAAAAAATAATATATTGAAAATTTGAAGTAGATGGAAAATGACAAAAAAAGAGGGCCAAAATTGCAAGTTTGATGTGTATTATTCTCTTTGAACCTCTTCTTTACGTGTCCTTCATTCTTTTTTCTGAGTGGCAAGAGATTGAGAATCGAGAAAGAGATGGAGATTTTATATTAGAAAGTTTCACATATTCTGAATTGTGAGAAGAGGAGCGTATGGACCTCTTAATTCTTTCATTTAGATTTTTATTTAATTAATAAAAATTTTTATTTTTTTATGAGCAAAAAGATTAAATTTTATTAATTTATAATATTTAGAAAAAATTTATTTTATCCAAATACTAACTCGAGAAAATAGCCTCCCACTTACCACTAACTTAACTTGGATAACTTAAGTAAAAAAAACCTAGTCAAAATATCAATATTCACTTAAACCACATACAACAAAAATCCAATGCTATTAACTAATATCCCATTAAATTATAAAAGCAAAACAACAAGAAGAGTAATCTAAAGCTATACCGACCATTCAAAAATATTTATTGAGATGAGAAATTATAAGAGAGAGTTAGCAAGATCCCAACAAGAGATTCATAAAAACTCAGCTCAATTCAAATTATATTCAGGCTAAAAATAGTTCAGTCGTCTCAACTTCTTTCTTGGATATGGAGTCATCAAAATGATTTTCGTCTCTATTTATATGGTGAAATTCCGGCTGCTCCAAAGAAGACACTATCATATCAATTTTATTAAAAAATTTGAACAATCGCCAATGACGATTTTACTTTCGAATCATCCAACAAACTACATTTTTTGAATCAGACTCAATAATCAAATGTGAGTTTTATTAAAATGATAGTTTCAACATAATTTAATTCTTATATGCGGCATCTTTAGAATTGGAAAATTATTGGTATTTTTTATAATATTTATGGAGTATTTTCTTTATGAAATTATGTTTTTTATTTTTACATTCTAGCCCAATTTTATAATAAAAATCATAACTTTATAAGACATATAATCCTAGAGTACTCCATTTACAAGGTTTTTGATTAAAAATTATTAAAATAAGAAATAATGAATTGAAGAACTTTGATATTTACTTTCTCCAAAAAAAAAAAAAAAAAAACCCTTTAATATTTACTAGTTACATAAGTTTTTTTTCTTGATAGAGTTAGGAGGTATAATGGGTTTTGAATAATACAATATAAATTTTTTATTTTCATAGAGTTTGAATCTAATCAATTTGTATTAATTTTTTCTTTTCCTTTCACTTCTTAATACTCTCTTTGTCTCATGTATACATGTTTTATTTGACTTATAATATTAAATACTGTATAGACAATTGGGGACATAAATGTACATTAAATAATCCTAGTATATTAAGAAATTAAGTAATATCCCTTTCGAAAAAAAAAAAGAAATTGAGTAATAAATATTTGTTTTTAAAAAATAGAGACTACATTGTAAAACAGATGGAAAAAAAAAAAGCTCATATATATGGAATGAGAGGAATCATTTTTTTTTTTTAAGAAAAAAAGGGTAAATTACATTAATGGTCACTTGACTTTACACTTATTTTCACAAGGTCATATAACTTTAATTTGTTAACTTTTAGTTACTAAACTTTGACGTCTGTTCCAATAGAAGATCATTCATCAGAATGCCGACATCAAAGTACAAACATGAAATAAAAAAAAAAATTATTTTAAAATTTTATATTTTTCCTTAATACATTAATTTAGAACCTACATATTAATTTTTTTTTTGAAAGGATTCTACCTATTAATTTATTTTAACAAATAATGTCATTTATATAAAAAGTGTTTAAAAACAAAAACAAAAACAAAAGAAAAAGAAAAAGATATTCACTCTATCATTTATATTTTCTAACATTTTTTTCCTTCTCTTTTTTATATTTCTTCATAATCATGATTTTTTTTGTTATATATGTAATTTTTAGCATCATATTATTGTTTCATTACTGAATTTCAATCCCATTAAAATAAAAATTAAAATTGAGTGACAAAAAAAATGATAACTTAAAATTATATTACCTAAATAAAATTATATGCAAAAGCAGGTGACTACTGGTATAGTTTTTTTTAAAAAGGAATTGGGATGGCAGACGATAGATCCAAGTCATCTTCCTCGAGGCTCGTGTTGGTGTCTTATTTTCATATTTTCATTAAGGTGGTCCTATATGCAACATGAATTTTGTTTTTTTTCTTTTTTGCAAATTTTTTTGTCTTAGGCATGTTAGAATAAATAAACAACGTTAATCATTGGTGAATATTTTTCTGTGGTTAAATAAATTTTTGGCCATAAGAGCTCCTAAGCCAAGCATTGAAATTCTAGAATAGTTCAGTTTGGTTTAACACTTCCATCCATCAAATGTTAATAATAATAATAAAAGAAAGAAAAAAAAGGAAAAATTGATAACATGAGGATGAAAATACAGACCACCCAACTTTCTAATGCAATATATTGTTTTTGTTAGGACAATTATTTTGAAAAACAAAATGAAAATTTTAAACTTCTAGAGGTCAAATATAATTTTTTTTTTATATTTAAATGATCAAAATATAATTTTTCATAAAAATAAAAAAAAAATTTCTTAAGAGGGCCACGGCCCCTCTAGGGTCTCAAAGAGCTCCATCCCTAACAACATATAAATAAATATTTTAAATTCATATTGGTCTATAAAATAAATATTCAATTCAATTTACAGAATAATAAATAATGAAATTCAGATATTTAGACCGTTTATTATTTTAATCAACACGATATTACTTATTAATTTAATATTTTTGTTATTTGTTTAGCCTAACGGCATTATTATTTATATTAATATATTTTGGAGATGATTACATTATGACGAAATATAAAAAATAGAAATTAGCATAATAAATAGAAGAGGGAAAAGTCGGTCCATCCATACATGATAATAAAAGCAGAATTAGACCAAAGTTGGAGGGGGCGGTGCGTTGTATTAACGCTTACTATACTTTTTCCTGTTTTTTTCTTTATCCTTTTCTCAGCTCAATTGGGCCGACGACGACTACGACACGACGTTCACTCCTATAATCCAAATTAGTCTTGCCTGTTGCGGGGACCACCAGGAATCTTATACCACCATCACCACCGTCATCCATTTAATCTACTCCAGACACGTGCAGCTGTGGCTCCCACTTCACACTTCACACGCAATAAACTTAATCTGCTCGCCGCGTATTCTTATGTAACTCAATTAAATTTAATAGTATAATTATATTTAGAATAATTCATTATTGAAATTTTATTTACTTTTATCTCTTAAAATATTTTTTTAAAAATAATAATTTCAAAAAATAAAAAATAAATTATTTTAGGCAAAATAATATTTTTATTTTATCATCAAAATAATATTAATAAAATTATTGCGAAAAAATGAGAGATAAATATTACATTTTTTGCATGTCATTTTTCTTTTCTTTAGTATGCATTTAGAACAAAATTAAAAGGGGTTCTTCTTTTATTAAATTGTCATCTAAATTGTTTCAATTTCACACTATTTTGATAAATTGTTCAAAGAAAATATTATTGTTATCATAAATCCATTATCTTGGCCTATTAATTGGAGAATTAAGTATTTTCTATTTCTTATATGCACAAATTGTTTAGAATATTCAAACTCGAAATAATTACTAATCAAATAAGTTTTTATAATATTATATTATTTTTTTTTGTTATTACTATTCCCATTTAAAAAATGTTACCCTCATTTTTCCATTGAATTTTAATATATCTAATAATTAGTTTCTCATTTGTAATTCTGAACTTAGGTCTGAAACTAAAAATACTAACAATGTTTTAGAAGTGCTTTTCAGAAAATAAATAAGCCTAATCCATTTCTTACTAACAATTATTGGCCAAAACCCAGTTGACCAGTCGTCTGATCCCATCGTTTTGGCCCATTTTCCATCACGTCATTATGTGGCACAATCTTATTGGCTTCTCTAAATTGAGACTATTAAACTGTATTGTAGTAGATAGCCCTTTGTTGACTACTGAGTCTGGAGCGGAGAAGCAAAGAAAAACAAAGAAAGAGAGGTATTAATGTTAATTTCTTCAAATCAGAAAAACATCGCCAGGTTTCTGTTAAAATCCTATTTTGCGCTTTTAGGGTTTCTAAATAATTAAAACTTTTTACTCACTGCTTGTTCAAATTTTCCCGCGAAAAATGGATCACGAAGGTAATCATTCAATAACTGCTTTCGAATTTCTTTTTCCCGTTTTCTTGTTACTGTCAAAAATATTTATCTTTCTTTGGATACTAACAGGGCAGCGAGGCTCTTCAAATCCCTCTGCAATGCTTGCTTCTCTTATTAGTAAAAGAAACAAGCTCCACGAGGAGCTTCGAAACATCGAAAAACAGGTTCATTTTATTTACATGTTTTCATCTTTTAATTTCTATATGTTTACATATGCAAAATGCGTTTCCTTTTTATTTTTATTGTTAGTTTTTTTAATATGCTTAACGGCCTTTCTGGAGTTAAAAATTTTATTGATCACTTCACTTTGAACTAATGATGTTTTACCTAATTGGGTTGGCCACATTGCTTAAATTTTGATTCTTTAAGCAGTTTGTTGAAAATCAGGGCTGGAATTTTATGTTGGTTTCTTTCTTTTTAAACTTTAGCTGTCAATGTGGAAGATAGTTTATTGTCACCAGTTGATTCTTTTATTTCTTTCCCTTGATACAAAGGTGGCTAATGTTTTAACTTGATTCAGGTCTATGATATGGAGACAAATTATTTGCAGGATCCAAGCCAGTGTGGCAATGTATTGAAAGGTTTCGAAGGGTTCCTATCTTCATCTAAGAATACCGCACTGTATGGAGTGGCTGTTTAAATATTTTCTTTTTTTACTCTCTTTGATGAGAATAGTTGTACAGTTTGCCTGTATGTTTTAAATTACATGCTAATAATTTTATTCAACAAAGAAAATAGTGGATTTGAAGAAAATTGCTTTGTTGACAGATGCTCGTTAAAAATCTTTTGTGCACCAAAATTGCTCCATGTGCCTGTATTGCGGGTTATGATGTAATAATGCTTACAAATTGTAGTCTTCTTGGATCTTCATTATCTTAAAAAAGGAAGTACACTTATTATTGCTATTTAATTATACTAATGCAAGTTTCGGTCTATTTTACTTCAGTGAAAACAAAAGATTCAGATGCCTGTGTTATAGAGTTCCTGTGTTCACATAATTATGATTTCAATGCAACATTTGCATTTGAATTAACCTTCCTGTTATTGGCTTCAGAGGAGATCATTAATCATCTGTCCAAATTTGTAGTTAAATTATTCTTAGGTTTGTTTGTCATATACAAGCACTTTTTTACATACAAACCTTTCTAGGCTGGTTGACTATTGACATTAAACACACTACAATGTAGGAATCATACTTACTGGAATAACTAGTTCCAGCTATAAAATAGCACAACTAGCATAAAGTTTGACCTTATATGTAGGCATAACATTAGGATGCACAAGTTTCCTATGGTTAGAGATCGAGGTTTTATTCTATATAACAGATATTAACTTTTTCAACGTTGTTGCTGCAGCTTGAAACGGTCTAGGAAGTTCCAGCCTGAAGATAGGCTCTTTTCGTTATCTTCAGTCACCTCACCTGCAGTATGTGCTCTAAATCTTAAATATTGTAGTGGTGGCACTTACATTCTTTTTATCTTCCTCTTTTTGTTTTATTCTTTTCATCTTTTCCTTAGAAGAGTGGCCATGGTAGTTCCCAATGATGGATACTGCAAATTGCGAGATAGAAGTCAAGTGATGATTGATGAAAATTCTGAACCATGAGTCTGGTGTTTTTCACCAAGTATTTAGTCTTCCTTTCAATGGATGGATTTTATATTAGAAAGTAGTTTTCTAACTCATCTTCTGCTAATCTACTAGATTTCAATACAAACAAATGGTTCAGTAAATATTTAAAACTTTTTTATTATCAGGGAAAAATAAGAGAATGAAGGGACCCTTTGGTTTTTTTCTGTCAGTTCATGCATGATTAACAAGTCTTCAAATTCTAAATTTCGAACTTTAACAAGTATTTAAACTCCAAAATAGCCTCGTTGTTAATCATAGTTTCTGGTCCATAACTAAAACCCTGTTACTGCATACTATTGAACACATGCAACTCCCCAATAAAGTGGAACATATGCCTATTAAAGTGGAACTCTTTCTTTTATATTGTTAATACATATGTCTACATGGAGAGGGGCAGTCATGCTACTTTGAAAGTTGTGTTGTTTTTGAATCCCAAATTTTTTATTTTTAACCATCCTAAATTCTGAATTTTTTTTTTATTCTCCTAGTTTCCCCCTTCACTGTTCGGAGACGATTGGAACATTGAATCTTTTTGCATGCAAAGCATGTTATGTTCAGTATATGAGTTTGAATGAGTTAAATGCAGTGGTGAAACGGATGTATCTTTTATTTGGATGTGCCAAATTTTTATGCTATATTTCTTAGAGTTTGCAAATTGGTGATGATGTAATGTGCTTGTTTGACTGCAAATCTTTTACTGTCCCATTCATGATTCTTGAAATCTTTGTTAGTCAAGATGTTTTGTTGGGTGGGGAGGGGATAGAGGACTCATCATACTTTGTACAGTTGTGGCGATTCAAACGCTTAAACCTACAATCAAAATATTATATGGAATTTGAGAAGAATAAAGTGCTCAGTGAACAAATCTTTTGCTTGATCAACTTTAACATAAGATTGATCTGTGATACTAGGGAGTAGCAATAGCGTTGATTTATGTTGCATGTCATTAATTCTGTGCTGCTTTTCTTCATTAGACTTCTTTGTGCTTCTTATCCCAAAATTGGGGTATGTGATTGGATGTGCCACTTTATCTGGTTGTAGAACTCAATCCTTCAAGCACTAGAGACTTTGGGTCTGAAAACTGTTGTGTCAGCTCACTAATATTGTTCACAAGAAAAGAAGAATTTCTTAAAATGTTTCTGTTGTTCTCAATTTGATGTGCTAGGAAGTTATGTTGAATATGCTATTCAAAATTCCCTTGCACATTTCTTTTCCTGTTTCAGGCTGAAGAGCAAGCAGTTGGACGGGATGGTGAGCTGATATACACAGCTGCATATACAACTTTCCTCACTTCTACTGTTCTTGTCATTTATTTGCTTTTGTGCTTTTTAGATGGCAGGTCAGATTATGGTGTAGGGCGTTCGAAGGGTGGAGGAATATATGCAAATGGACAGTAAGTACCATATTTAAAGTAAACTGCACATGTAACCAGAATATCCAAGGATAAGGAATGGTTAGACCAAGATGAATGTTGCTAATGCTACTTATTTAGAATATTACTTCATATTTTCTGTCGAATATACTGTCAGGGGAAAACCAAAGAAGGGAAGAGGTGGACCAAGAGAAGCTAAGAGAATCAGGCCTTCAGCTGATCCAGATTTTGACTATGATGATGATCCTGATTTGACATTATAAAATTCAATTGGCTAGATGAAAGGATAGTTGGCCTTTGTATGTTCAAGAGCATAGGGCAGAAATTTTTTTTCCCTGTTAATATCTTTTCTTTTTTGAGCATTGTTGTGGCAAACAGAATCCTTATTCTTTTTGTTTTACACACTTGTTTTTTATGAGAATATGTCCACTACATTTGGGCTTGTGTTTTGATAATTGGCTGAAGGATAAAATTGTACAACCTGATCTAAAACAATTAAACATGCCATGCCATTGTTTGTGAACCTGTACAAGCATTTTGTCTCAAAATTTGCCAATAGGGAGGTTTGCAGTGACACTAGTACCAAGATCTCAACCTTATTATTATTATTATTATTTCTGAAATTTGAGATTGGTATTTCATTATTGGGTTTTTGAGCTATTGAGAAGTAGTCATGGTGAACCGGCTCTGATCCAGTTTTGGTTCCAGTCCTAGTTCTAATGAATTGACGATTTTGGTCACGATTTCAATGATACACGCATTATTTTTCAAAAAAAAAAAGATATAATAGAAATTCAGTTATAGGGGTATGTCTTTTTTCTAAAAAAAAATTTAACATGAATATGAAAAATATTAATAAATTTTATTTTAAATAACTTACAATATTTATTTATACCTATAAGAAATAAAATTTGTTAACCAAATAAATTGTTAGAAAATTTAAAAGAAAAAAAATTTTAAATATTTTAAACAATGTAATATTGGACTAAATAAAAAATATATAAAGAAAAAAAATATTTTTTAATTCATTGGAGGCTTTTAAATGGGCAGAAATAATACTACATACTACACAACAGGATAGTCTTACCCTTAACTCACTAAATCAGTGAAAATAACTAACTATTAAACTTTTAAACTTATTAAAACAATATAATTTTAAACTAAGTATTTTACTTTTTTTTTTTTTACCTTCACATTCTTATACTTTTAGTTCTTTTAACTAAAGTATATCATCTAGCAACAAGTTTATTTATACTTTTAGCTGGATATAGAATAAATTATTTTTTTTATTATATTTTTATTCCGGTTCAGATTGGTCTACGTTGGTTGTCGTTTTCAATTTAAAATTTTGAACAGTCGGTTCGGTTCTCAAACCGAACCCTATGGGAAAGTACATTATTATGTCAATTATCTTTTGCTCTTAAATCTATGTTACATAAAACAATATACACTTATGGGTAGACTGCAAGCTCTGATAATAAATTAAACCAAGCGACGTCGTTGTAGATTATATTAGTTCTTGATCTATTTTTTCTTATTTTTCTCCCCTCGCCTCCGCAACGCTGTTTCGTACAGTTTGGCACATGGCCAGATAGCTTCCCGCCTCGAAATCCCGACCCACTAGGACTGAATCTTATCTCGCCAACCGTTTCCGTTTTGCAGTCATGAACTTGCTGGTTTGTGTATCTAATGCAAAAATCTTTTTGGTCCCTTTCCCCACTTTTAATTTAATCTCTCTCTGTTTTTTTTTTTTTTTTCCTTCTATTTTACAACTAGAACAAGATAACGATGCAGAAGAAGGAGCCAGACAAGTCACCTATAGAAGTGCCAGTATATTGGATCGAAACCTCCGAATCTGTCTCTCGTCACTTCCAGTTTCAGCCCGATGGTCGGCTCTCTGTATGTTCCTTCTTTAAATATTTTCTTTCTCGTTTGTAATTTTGCAAACATCTGGCGTGCATGGTAGCTGTGCTGATAATAGCTAGTTACTCTAATTTCTGTTTACACGGTGGCTGTTAGAAGTAATTGAATAATGGATCAGCTCACTTGTGCTTGGTCATCTTAATTGCTCTTTTGGTCTCGGTTGTTCATACTTGAATGAGAAAATGGGAATGCCTAAAGGAATATTTTGCTTTTGGAAAGAGATTAATCACAAAGACGTCTCTTCTTAGTTCTTACTTCTTACTAAGAGAAGATTTACTGAATAGTTAGCTCAAGTGCTTGCTATATATAGCGTGTATAAAGAAGAAATGAATCAGAAAAATAAATACAGCTGCTATCTAGCGAGCGCAGGGGTTAATTTTGCATGAACCAAAAACATTTGTAGGATGTAACAGTTGAGATAAATAATTGTAATATCTTGCAATTTATACTGTACTTTACTTAAAATTTAATATCTTTATCGAAAAAATTTTAATTTAATTGAACTTATTCTGTCCTTAAATTGTTTGAATGATTCAACTAAATCATTCTTTTGTTTTATTTTCTGTGGGTTCACTCTTGAACTATGATGATAATAGATGAAGGTTGTTGATGATGCGAGATCAACATTTCATAAGGTGGTTGAATCCTTTCAGAATAAGTTCTTTCCCTCCGGATATCCATATAGGTGAGTTATTTGATTTTAACACTGAAAGAAAAAATGCTACATACGCATGATTAATTTACTTTCTGGTGTTTTGCAGTGTGAACGAGGGATACCTTAGATATACACAGTTTCGGGCTCTGCAGCACTTTTCAAGTGCAGCATTGTCTGTGCTGTCAACTCAGGTCTTATTCCAATATCTTTAAAGCATCTGTAAATTATCACAACATTATACAACATCATCCATCATACTTCATTTTCTCTAATTTTATTTATAGTTCTCGAGAGTCAAAACTAGATATTTTCTCTTTATGCTTTGCTGATTGCATATAGCTGACCCCAACTAGTTTGGGACTAAGGTGTGGTTATTGTTGTTGCTGCACTGCTGAATGTTGATATCTAGGTTGATTGGTCAATTGTTTTCTTTTTGACAGGCTCTATAATGCAGTAGGTTTCTATTTATTTATTTATTTAGTTTAGTTTCAACATGCATGGAATGAGAACTATAATGTGTGCGTCATTTCTCTATGTTCTCACTGGTTTGCAGTCACTCCTATTTGCTGCAGGCTTGCGACCTACACCTGCACAAGCAACAGCCATAAGTTGGGTGAGTTTTCCACAGGTCAAATGGTCAACAATTTTAGCCTAATAGCATTTCTTTAAACAAAAACTTTTTAATTTTTTTTAATGAGCAGGTATTGAAGGATGGGATGCAGCACGTTGGGAAGCTCATATGTAGCAATTTGGGTGCCAGAATGGATTCAGAACCAAAACGTTGGAGAATACTAGGTGTTCTATCTTGTCTTACATTTTATTGAATGTGGGCTGGAGTTGGCTTTGAGCCGTGTATTACTTTCACAAGGTCTCTAACTAGGAGCTGTCCATATTGTAGCTGACGTGCTCTATGACTTGGGAACTGGCTTAGAAGTACTTTCTCCCTTATGTCCTCATCTTTTCCTTGAGGTGGCTGGCCTTGGTAATTTTGCAAAGGTCTGTTTCTAGTTAATAATTATTTTATCTGGATAAAGATGTTAAGATAGTTTATTTGGAATTTATTGGGTTTCACATTATTCTTTTTCTAATTTGCAATTAATAGTTACACGTTCACTGAGGATGTGCTTTCCCTTCTCTAATATCTCAGATCTCCTTTGCTATTATCCATTCCTTTCTATTGATTTTACTTGTTCACTGTATTTGATAGGGAATGGCAGTAGTTGCAGCTAGAGCAACAAGGCTGCCGATTTATTCATCTTTTGCCAAAGAAGGCAATCTAAGTGACTTATTTGCAAAAGGGGAGGCCATTTCAACACTTTTCAATGTGGTTGGGATGGGAGCAGGGATTCAATTGGCATCTACTATTTGTTCATCAATACAGGGGAAGGTATGAAGTTTATAATTATTTATCTGATAGCAAGCACTTGATTCATTTTGTCGCCCTATGCGTTCTTGAAATTGAAAGTTCCTTGTGTTTTGGAGAGCATTATTCTGAACTTACATGATATCTTGAACTAAAAATAATTTATTGGAGGCTAAAACTCATCTGATTAACTAGTGTATACTATCAGCTGTGCGCAACTCGGTCTTTGTTTGTTTTCTGCAAAAGAAAAGAGAAAGAAAACCAATCATTTCTTTTTCTATTTTTTGCATATAAGGTGTATGATTTTCTTCTGATTCAATCAAAATTCTACGCACATTTGATGATCTAGTTGTGTAAACATTTTTGTGCAGTTGGTTGTTGGTCCTCTTCTTTCTGTTGTACATGTTTATAGTGTCATTGAAGAAATGAGAGCTGCCCCTGTCAATACCCTAAATCCACAGAGGACAGCAATGGTTGTTGCAGACTTTGTCAAGGTTTGTTTTTGAACTCTCCATACTAAGTTCGCATTTGATTTTTATTTGCATCAACTTAATTTCTCCAGTTGCTATCCAACCCAGACAGGAAAGATATCAAGTCCTGCTGATCTAAGATACCGTGAAGATCTTGTATTTCCTGGAAGACTTATAGGAGATGCTGGCAATGTAAAAGTGGGACGGGCTTTGCACAAAGTTTTTACGCCATCAAAACTTCGTGAAGTGAAAGATATTTTCCCAGAGGAGAAGTTTCTTTTGAACCGTGGGACCAAATGGACTGACATGGTACTAGAACAAAATGCTTCAGGAGAAGATGCATTGAGGGGATGGCTGGTTGCTGCATACGCTGCAAACATGGATGCATCATCCCAAAAGTCAAGTGCTAGTGTCTTGCAAGACGCATATGACAAGATGAATAGCACATTCGATTCATTTTTGACCGAACTGCAAGCCAAAGGGTGGCATACAGATCGCTTTTTGGATGGCACAGGAAGCCGTTTCGCATGGTAACATTTTCTAGACTCAAATGATTGTTATACAATAGAAATGTACTTTCTAGGAACTACGCTATTGAAGATGGTTTGTAACAGCTTGTGCCTATGAGTTTGGTTGGGGTGCATTTAATTGTAAATTAGAAAGAAGGCAGCTGTGAAACAGACCAAATTGCTGTTTAATTGAAAATTACAACTTACTTTCATATTTGTGCATTGTCATTCATATGTTACTATAATATGTTCTTCTTTATGCCGGAGATGAAGATGTAATAGAAATCAATTTTCTTTCTTAGTCAGATATCTGGATTTAATATAAATGCTCAGAGGAAACTAGATGGGGCATCAGTGGACATTTAGGTGTTTAATCACTGCCTGTCTCTCATCCTACTTTAGGTGAACAAGGTTATAAACCACTTGTGGTTAATTTTTTTTATATATATAATATTTAATTCTTCAATTCCATTAAATAAAAAATATATATTTATATTGTTATTGACCTTAAAATACCAACTCTAACGATGAACCATGTTCTTTGACGTCAAGAATGATATCAAGTGGGGAGAAAATGATGGATAGATTCAATTAAGTTAGATAAACTTCCAATCAAATTTAGAAAATGCCAATTATAGAATGTTTTATTCGAGTTGAACAAACGAATTGAAAGACTGTTTATGAAGGGAAAGATAGTTGAACTTAGGTCAGTCAATCCCATAATTAATTGGTATATGTCAATTTTATTAAATAATATATATTTGAATAATAAATTGAATTATTTCAAATAATAATGATGTAATTACCTTTACGTAAATGTCAAAACAAAACTTTTTTTTTTTTTTTTTTTACGATGAACCATGTTCTTTGACGGGTCAAAGAATGATTTCAAGTGGGGGAGAATAAATGATGGATTAGATTCAATTAAATGTTAGATAAACTTCCACATCAAATTAGAAAATGGCCAGCATATATAGTGAATGTTTTTATTCCGAGTTGAACAACGAATTGAATAGGACTGTTATGAAGGAAAGATAGTGAACTAGGTCAGTGCCTAATCCCATTAGAATTAAATTGGTCAGTATGTTCAATTTTATATTTAAATAATATATATTTGAATAATAAATTGGAATTATTTTCAAAAATAATGATGTTAATTACCTTTTACGTAAATGTCCAAAACAAAACTGTTTTTTTTTTTTTTTTGAAAATAAAACAAAAGCCTTGGATCTAGAAAATAGTAAGAAGTCAGTTTATTTTTATTTATACATTACTTTTAAATGAAAAAAAGATAATGGCGAATATGAAAATTGGCCAGGTACAAAATTGAATATTTGGGACTTGCTTATAATCGAAAATTGGTCCTATGATTGACCTCAAGCCAGCCCTTTTTTTTAAACATATTCACTGCCAGTGGTCCACAGAGGGAAAATTTATTTATAAAGGCATTATTTACAACCTTGTTTTCTTGGTTATAAACGAGAGAATTATGTTCGTATTTCATAAATTTGATTTATTCATGTGTTTCTCCACTCAATGTATCTAATATAGATATAAAGATCTCCATCTTTTCAAACCAACTTTAAATTTCAATTAATTAAATTCATACATTTTCAACTCATTTATTACCTAAGAATTAAAACGTCATTCAATAATATCATTATTAAAATGATTATGAATTACTATTTTAGTGTTCATATAATTTAAATATACTTTTAATGTTTTTCATTTTTTTAACAAAATTAAAACTACTTTTGAATTTTAGTTATTTACCCTTTGTATAATGCTATTTTTATCAATAGAATGTCTATGTCGATGCTAACAAGGGTAACAGAAAAAATATAATGTCAATTCATTGACGCAACGAAGTTCTTTATGCTGAAATAAAATTATAAACTGTCGATTCTGTTGCTAACATGCAGGACACTTTATATGGAATAATAAGTCTCCAGGTAATAAAACAATTTAATTATTAAAAATCCACTTTTACAAAAATTACCAATAAAATTAAATACAATTTTTAAAATTTAAAATTAACTAAATGTAGGGACAGAAAAGAATTATACATCCACTTAATTTTAGGATATCCTTAAAATAGGACATTAGAGCATTGTCATTATATAATTTTCTAAATAAAAACGCATTCATCGAAAGGATAAAATTCCTTACTATTACTTTTAAAACGAAACATTCACAACGCATCTTAAATCTTTAAATAAAAATGTGAATGGGCAAAGATTTAAGGCATCGTAATCTCACTAATTCCTCTTCGTAAACTAGTGGATATATTGATATTTATTTTAGTTTCACGAAATTCAACACACCTATTTTGCGTGCATTCCGACGAAGAGAAACACTGTTATTTGATGTTGAGAGGATTGAAATATTTTAATTACCCTACGTTATTTCTCATTTACTACGTCAAGTCGTAATAGTGAAAGTTGGAAAAATGGACAAAATTTTACACAAAATCTATCCTCCTCCTCGTCTTGTTTATCTAATATACATGTCTATAGAATAAAAATAATTTTTTTTGACATAAATAAAAATACCCTTTTAATGCTTTTAATAGAGTGTTTATTAGAAATAATTGTTAACTTTAAGCAGGAATTGACTACATGAATTATTCCGATAATTAGTTAATTATTTCTAATATGCCCTCCTAATTAAAAATGTTAGTACCGGCAAAAAATATATATTTTTTTATTTTCTTTTATTTATTATTTTCTATCCCCAAAAATTAATAAATTAAATATAAAGTTAATTTCAAAACTTGGAATATACAAAACTCTTTTATTTTTTTTTAAAAAATCATTTTGTTTTGGATGATGTGTATGTTGAAGTTGGGGATTGGAACTCTATTTTGTTTCATTTTCTCCCAGGCGTGATGTAACAGCCGTATTTGACGTATAAATATGAAACAATGATTTCTGAGCTCCAACGTACGACTAATTAATTTTAGTGGTTTCTTTTTTGTTAACAAGCTAATAATTTTCATATTTTTAACTGATGTTAATTAAAGTATTCAATCAATTTATTTGTCATAAAATTTAAATATTTAATTTAAATTAATTTAAAATATTTAAATACTGTTGTGATTTTTATAAGTTGAAGCGGTTTTATAAATTCAAAGTGAAAATCGAGTGCGCCATAAATATCTTTCATGACACAATTAAAATTGAATTCATGTCATTAAACTGAAGATGAGCATGACGACCTACTTTTAAATAAAATAATAGATATGGTACATTATAATAGTTTCAGAATCATTTCCCAAATTTCGGTATTGATTTTCGGTTCTAACAAAAGTCACATTTTTTTTTTCAAAAACTTGAAATCATGAATTTGCTAAAAAAAAAAAAAAGAATTTAGGAATCGACATAATCTTTTAGGTGGGTTTTGAAAGATTTTTTAAAAAACTTGTTTGGTTTTGGTTCGAATTTTGAATCAAACATTTTTTTCAAAGTTTTTATTGGTGTATTATTATTTTTTGTTTTTGTTTCTATAGGCATTGATAATCACTCTAGCATTAAAAGGACTAAAAGTTGAAAAAAGTATTAAAATATATTTTAAAAAATCATATATAAAAAATAAAAAATAAATTTGAAAGTTTCATCCAATAGTTTTTTAGTTTACAATTATTTTTTTATTCATTTTGTCTTAATAATATAAATTAATCACTTCTAAACTAGTAATTGTATTAAACTGTAACTATTTAAATTAATTAAAAGCTTCTTCCTTATATGAGAGATTTAATTAGATACATATATACACCATGCTCGCAAAAAAGGGTTGAGCTTAAAGAAGTGGTGACGAACACCCGTTTTAAACACCCTGTGAACATTCGCAAATAGGGAGAAGGAAGTTGAAATTATATATTTTTTTTCCTCTTTTGCTTTAATAAAAATAACAAGAAATAACTATGACAAATTTCATAAAAGTTAGAAATCTTTTTTTACTAATTCAAAAGTTAATTTTGAATGCTTCTTTATCTCATATATATTTATACTCATACAGGGATGATATTCTGAACAGTGATAATCCCTAAGTTGAATCTTCATTAACTAAACACTCTCTGAAATGCAAATCATGTTCGCCTTAATAATTATAGATTTTTAAAATTTGTGAATTTTTTGATTTAACTAATACATAAATGCATTTGAAGAAATTTTAGATTTTAAATTTAAAATACCAATTGCCAAGACTAATTAATTATCGAGAAGAAAACTAGAAAAGGGAAAACATGTATTTTTTTATTGAGAGGCCTTAAATAGCGAGTTGATTTTAGGTTCTAATCATAAAAATAAGTTTGCATTTTCACGTCTTTATATTTTTTCTATTTGGTTCAATTACTTTTCAATTTTGCCTAATTAATATCTGTTTTTCTTTTTTCATTATTCAATTTTTAGTTTCCAATCTAAGATTCCATGCGGCTGTCAAGTGATTGCAGTTCACTTGAGAGCGAAGAAACCTACTCGCCATCAACTTTGTCATTTACGATTACAGTGCAAGTGTCTCACCAATGATCCTATAAAAATCCAGTTCAATTATACAAACCGTACCGAAAATTCTTAAAGCCTATTATCTTAAGATGAGAGAAGATCGTGTCTCCAACAACGTTAATTTCCGACTTAAAGATTTTAAAAACCAAAGCATAAATGGCTAAAGTAATGTCCACATGGACTTGTGATTTGCGTGGTTGGTCAAGGCCACTTAACCATCAGATTAAGCCAACCTCAAACTGTCATGGAACTTCTCAACGGGATACCCATAATTTGACAAGAAAAATAAGTTTTGAAATTTGTAATCAACAAAATTTTTAAAAGTATTGCGCTAATTTACCAAAGTAGCTTTTTTTTTTTTATTTTTCTTTTTCTTGGTTGGATTTAGCCTAGATCTTTTAAGATAACATTTATGTAGATTTTGCGACCCTAAAAGAGACAAATTTAGGAATATTTTTTGTACCCCCACTGCCCTTCATTATCATTACTTTTTCGTTTGCAAATAATAGAAGGAAAAAATTTTCTTTTTTCACTTGCACAAAGTTTATTTTCTCCCTCTCCCAACATGAGGTGCAAACAATCTGTACAACGGACAGTACAAATTATAAGGTACAAGGAACTTGCCAATATCTAATCCATTTACATTATAAGTATTAAAAATTACATATATTCCATTCAGACTTAGCCATATTCCCTAATATGTCGGTAAGGCTGTGGAATCTACATATTTTTGACTGTTATCCTTTACCTGTCACTTTTAAAAT